CACCAGGCTTCTCTGTCCATGGGATTGTTCAGCCAAGGATACTGGAAGGGGTTGCCATGCTCTCCTCCAGGGGATTTTCCCCACCCAGGTATTGAACCTGGATCGCCTGCATCTCCTGCATTGCAGGTGGGTTCTTTTACCACTGAGCCATGGGGAAAGCCCCAGAATATTAGGGGTGCATATCTGCCTTGGCATCAAGTTGTATACATGCCCACCTGCTCTGCAGCAAGGGAACTGCACATGGGCCTTCAAGTAGGTTTTTTTAAAGCACCTGTCAAAATATTTTATTCTACAAATAACACAACTAAAAACTTCTAGGTGTATGCCAAAGCTGCAACTGATGTCATCCATTCTGTTCTCTCTAACTACATCCTGAGTGTCTCTGAATTCAAATATTTACCCTTCTCTGCTTCATGATATCTGCAAGTCACTTTCTGAGGTCATTACTTGAGTCTTGTAGACCTCAGAGTTCATGGATAAATTCTCCTTTAGTCTTCCCAAAAACCCAGGAAGGGGTTCTTATAATAATTGTCTTTGGTTTCTAGTTGAAGAAACGGAGACCCAGAGAGTGACTCTCCCAACGTCACAAAGCTTTGGAATTTGAAGATGTCACATTAGATCACTGAATTTGAACTTGGTTCTTCCAACCTCATGGTAGGTGCTCATTCTACCAAATACAGTTCAGTAAGGGACTTAGTAAACACACGACCACAAATCATTCATAAAGGGAGGGAACCACAAGAAGACAGGTTGAATCCTGTGCTCGGAGGGACCGTTTCACTTGGTCAGTCCCCGGGCCTCACAATGACATCTGCCCCCAGGGACATGCACACGCATGGTGCTCACTGGGCCAAATCTGTTTCCACTTGTGATTATTCTCCTAAAATTATCCTCTTCAGTTCAGTTCAGTCACTCAATTGTGTCCGACTCTTTGTGACCCCATGGACTGCAGTGTACCAGAGTTCCCTGTCTTCCCATCCTCTTCTACCTACCCAAATTTGAGCTATACTTGACTAGGGAAAAAGAAATAAAGCCAGTGTTGAACATAAACCCCTAACTAATAAAATCCTGCATCTCTTCTCTGGTATGACACCAGATCTTTTGAGGAATTCCAAGTTCAAGTCCACACCTTCTGCCTTCTAGGCACCGCCCTTGGCAATGTCAAAGTCACAATCAAGCACCAACCAACTGCACCCATCCCCCTATCCATGGTAGCTCCTTCAGCTAGAATCTGCTATTTTCTGCTGGTTTTGTTTCTTTCTTCCAGTCACCATGATTTCCTGAGACACTGAAAAGCATCTTCTGTGAGCCGAGTTCTGGGACTGGTTCTGCACATCAAACATTTTGGAAATGGCCACACTGCATAGAGAAGATGAGGGGAACAGAATGCTGTAACACAAGATTTTATTAATACATAAAACACAGACTGCTTCAACTAGACTGAGAAAATGAGCCGCCTGGAGAGAGGCAAAGTATACAGACAGACAGTGGCCAGATCACATGCAGAACAGAACCCCAGCCTGTAGCAAAGTGCCGAGGAAACACACCCTATGCAGAGAAGCCAGCATAGGAGGCCAGCCAGCTGTGAGTCAGGCCTGTAGGCAGTCAGACGCTTTCTCTAACCACAGTCCAGGAAGCTACACAACAGCTTCTATAACAACTGGCCCCAAATAGCCAGCACTTGATTAATAACAGCTTCCCTAACCTTTGTCCCTGCTTCCAGCTTAGGACCAATCAGAGAAAGCCAAATATGCTCCCCTAAGCAATCACACTGTGTGCTCTAGTTACCTCACCCCTAGCTTCCCCAAGGCCAACAGCTTCCAGTAATTACTGGAACCTCCTTTTTTTTCCACTGCAAAGCTTTCCCATTCCTCTGTCTGCCTTGGAGTTTCTGCCACAACAAAAGCGATGGTGATTGACTCCCTTGCTATTAAGGTCTGAACAATACCCTTTCCTTCTTCTCACTTGGTAGGTCTCTATTTCCACCTTGGATAAACATCATCTTTGAAAAATCTTTACTGAGTCTATCAGATCCCCTAGCTATTGATCAAAACCATAAACTTTTTCAGAGAGAAGCAAATATTTTGTATTTACCTAGAAAATCTAATTTCATTTCTAAGAATGTTCCTATTTCCCTCGAAATCACACAGTGGTAAAGGATCCGCCTGCCAATACAGGAGATGCAGGTTCAATCCCTGATCAGGAAGATCCCTTGAAGAAGGAAATGGCAACCCAGTCCGGTATTCTTGCCTAGGATATCTCATGGACAGAGAAGCCTGGCAGGCTACAGTCCTGGGATTGCAAAGAGTGGGACACAACTGAGCCTGAGCAAGCTCACACGCATATAAAACAAGAAAGACTTCAGGCTGCCATTTAGACACATTGTAATCAACCAATGTATTTTTATTATTCCCTCTCTCTGCAGAGAGCAGATGATTCTTAAATTAAGAGAAATCCTCAGTCCATTGATCAAAACCAGGATGGGAGATCTAGAAGCTTTCAGACAGACGAAAGGCCCTCTAAGAACCTAAGGGTATCCCACAAGGTCCTCTCATTCAGTAGGGCTTCTAAGAACCTCTGAGCATTGTCCCAGCATCCTCACAGAGGTCCTAAAATAGAGAAAGGCCTCTCTTGGAGATGTTTGTGCTTTTGTCTAACGGAGTGAGGGTTTGCTATTTTGATGATATAAAAACAGACCCACCAGCATCCTAAGGAGAGTACCTCTTCCCTCCTCAACTCTCCCTGCTATGGGGCACAGCTCAAAAGGAAATGGAAATTGCATTATGCACAGAGCTAAGGGGCTTCCCTGGTGGCTCAGCGGTGAAGAGTCTGCCCACCAACACAGGAGATACAAGAGACGTGGGTTTGATCCCTCGATCAGGAAGATCCCCAGAGGAAATGGCAATTCATGCCAGGATTCTTGCTGGGAAAGTCCCATGGACAGAGGAGCATGGTGGGCTAAGTCCACAGGGTTGCAAAGAGTGGGACTTAGTGACTAAACCAATATCACCACGGAAGTTAATGATGACCATCTGTCACCAACCTAACTCACAGGGCAGTCCATGGACTGAAAGGGCTGTTCACCAAGGGGCTCAAGAGTGTCCAGGAAATAGGATGTGGGGAGTGTGTTCCCACCCCAGCTAACTCGGGGGATCCCTCATCCAATCAGGTCTCACCAATTTCTCAGCTGATCTAAAAACTACACAGAAAACTCAGACCCTCTGTGCAAGATACCATCTTAAGAATTTTCGCCGGATCCTAAACGAGATAATTCACATTTGAGAGAGGGTTTCTCTGTTGCCCAAATGATGCATCTCCTCCCTTGGGCTTAATAGAGACACATCCACCTGTATTCCTGAGAAAGATACATTGATTAAGAAAGGCAAAAACCCTAACTCAGAAGCAAGATTGTATTCAATCTTTTTTCCTCTTAGCAAATGGGGCCATAATTTGAAGGAAATGGAATGTGAAGCTGTTGAGAGCCGAGCCCCACATGTGCGTCCACGTGTTGTACGGGTTGTAAATAACACGCGTGACTGCGCCAGGCACCAAATTGCTCGTTAGCTGCCAACATTAGTTGTTTAATGATCTGAAGAGCAGAAGCTGCCAATTATTGTATTCCTTCTTAAAATGCCATTTAAAACCCATACATGTAATTATTATACCTTTTCATTAAATTTTTATGATTCTTCTGGAGCTGATGAGCTATGGATTCATTCAACTTATTAAACAGGCTGTCATTACATAACTGGGTTAAAAATCCATACATCACGCCTGGACACTAGCCCTGATCTAGCCCCACTCAGTTAATGGAGTGAACTTAACCACAACACACATTCCAGGGCCTCAATCTCTCCCTCTGCTCCTCGGAATCACAGTGTTTCTCCCTCCTACCTGATAGAGCTGATGTGAAAATAAAATAACAAATGCAGAGGAATGTTCAAAAGCACTGTTCAGGGGCTTCCCTGGTGGTCCATTGGCTAAGAATGCAGGGAACACTGGCTTGATCCCTTGCCGGGGAAGATTCCACATGCCTCAGGGCAACTAAGGCCATGGCCAGAAGTACCAAGCCCATGATCCACAATAAGAAGCCACCACAACGAGAAACCTGCCCAGCAACTAGAGAAAGCCCAGGTACAGCAACAAAGACCCACCACAGCCAGTAAATAAATAAACCTTTTCTCTAAGTACTGTTCAAATCAGAGAGTAAGATCCTATTTTCAGAGACTCGTGTTTTCAGCCTACTGATTAATGGAAAAGTATATCCCTTTATAACTACCAAATTAAGGAAGGATAATGATCCACTGAAAATCCTCCCAAAATCTCTTATCTATGACTAGGTTGTTACTCTGAGTACATCAGTTTGTCTCCTGTTACCACTCTTTCCCCCATAGCAAGTGGTTGATCACACCCTCACTGAGCATCTCCAGATACATAAATCTGTAGAAACCCTGACTAGGATTACATGGCATCCAGATTACATCTAGTCTCTAAACTCTTAAACAGAAACTGGTAATGCAAACAACACAAATAGCTATTTTATATAATGTGTGCTTGTGCATTTTTAAGAGTCTTACCCATCCCTTATAGGACTACCCTGGGTCACTGGTAAAAACTCCGCCTGCAATGCAGGAGATGCTGGTTCAATCCCTGGGTTGGGAAGATCCTCTGGAGAAAGAAATGGTAACCCACTCCAGTCTTCTTGCCTGGAGAATCCCATGGACAGAGGAGCCTGGCAGGCTACAGTCTATGGGGTCACAAGAGTTGGACCCAGCTTAACAAATAAAAACTAACAACCCATCCCTTATAAAGAAGCCATGCTGCCCATCTATTCCATGAGTTTCAGTGAGACTCCCCGCAAAGGCTCTGAGTTGTCAAGTGACAGATAGAATGCTACACAACATTCAGGTACAGGTAGACTTAATCCAGAACAAGACAGGGGTGTGGTGCTTGTCATCACTCACTCCACCTGTCTCCATGTCCCCTCTGTCCCCAGGTACCTGAGATGGCAAGCATTTTGGCTTCAAACAACGCTGGCAGTTGGGTTTCAATATCGTTAACCTTCTTTCTCAGGGCACTGCAGAGTCTTTCACTCATACACACCTAGAAGGAGAGAGACAGCCATGAACCATTGTTTACTCAGGCAGAGATGAGAGGGCGACAGGGCACCAGCCAGATTCCTGGATTTCTAAGTACCAAAGGGGCGATACAGAATAACTGCAGGAGAGTTCTTAAAAACCAAGCGATGCATCGAGGAAGGAAGGACGGAAGGAAGAAGAGAGGAAGGGAAGGAGGCAGGGAGGAGGAGGAGGAGGAGGAGGAGGAGGAGGAGGAGGAGGAGGAGGAGGGGGAGGAGGGGGAGGAGGAGGAGGGAGGAGGGGGAAGAAGGGAGGGAGGGAGGAGGGGGAGGAGGAGAAGGGGGAGGAGGAGGAGGGAGGGAGGAGGGGAAGGAGGGGGGAGGGAGGGAGGAGGGGGAGGGAAGGAAGAAACAGATGAGCTCCCACAACCGGACACAGCCACCAGTAAGCAAGCGGAGCCCTCTGCCTGCCCCTCCCCAGGCCTCTGCGGCCTCGAGTGGCTCCGCTGGTCCCTGGGGGCACAGCCCACAGGGCTCTGCCTTGGGAAGAAGGGCCGTGTGGCTCACCCACAAAACAGAACCACCACTTGGCCCTCCCTCCCCAGCCGCCTGCCCCTGCAGGGTGTCTGTCGGTACCACCCTGTCCAGCTGACACTCTGTCATTCTCCCTTCATTTTCCTCTTGTATCTCTGGGGACCACACACGCTATGGGAGCAGGGATTTCATTCTGTGTCTGGCACACAGTAGGCAGGAAAAAACGGTGCACAGACGTTGCGATCAAAGGCAGATTTGAAAAATAGACAAGTAGATCTCAGGAAAGTTTGCAGGTTTTAGCATTTCACTTCCTACATCTTTCTTGATCTTTAAAAAATAGCAAAAATCTTAAATCTCACTTTGTTTTTCCAGATTTCTTAGGCTATTTTGTATTTGTTGAAACTAAAATGCAACATTTTGTTTCTTTTATTTAAAGCAAAAACCTTGTATTCAACTGCTATCTATACTGAGATTAATGAACTACCTAAAAAAACCTCCAGTTGAACAAAAGCACAGAGCATGGCTGAATAACAATGAATACATATGTGAAGACATCTGGGGGATCCACAAAGGATGTTACTTAGAAGCACCCCGCTTTTCTTGCCAAAAACCTAACATTCCATTCAAGAAATAAAAACCCAGGTGGGTTCACAGAGCCCAGAGAAAATATAAAATTGAATCTCCCCAGAAGTTTCCAGCTCATGCTAGATATTATCACCTTGAAGTGCTTTGCTGACCTCAGACTTCAACAGAGATTCTTTCTAAAATCAACACAAACCTCACCCACCCCATCTAAAATAGTACACTCTTGCCCCCATGGCCTTCAGCATGTTCCTTTCTATTAAGCAGCTGTAATCTCCCAAACCTCTTTATAAAACTCTTTTTATAAATCTCTTTATAAAAATCTCTGGATGAAGGGACAGTGTAAAGGCTTCTACCCCAAAGCCCGCACCAGCAGAGCTGAGCAACCACTGTCCAAAGCCATCAACTTGGAGACACCCTCTCAACGGTCCTGAGATTCAGCACAGTGTCAGGACCAGAAGTTAAAGTAAGTTGCTCTGACATCCGCCCAAGCACTGTCTCATAGACTCCATGCTGATGACAGGAATGACCTCTCCCCTTGGTCAAAAGCATGTCACCAGAGGTCCCAGGACATTTCTGTCAACTCGATTACCCCAGTCATGATTGCTGCACCTCACCCAAGTACATCCAGTATTTCTGATTTTAGCTCACAGTCTCTTTTAACCATAATTGGGTCAGTTTCTCTTTTATTGAGGGAGCTGTCACTATTAATATGAAACAACCTCTAAATCTTCTTATTAAATTGCAATGTACATTCTTTCCGGCACTGCTGAATGTAATCTAATATCTACCAACCTCCGGATACCCCATTTATTTCCAACACTTTCTTCCATCTCATTTATCCCTTAATTACCTTTGGTTTGGGTAACCCATAAGAGTCAAAAAATGTAATGAGTGGAAGGCAGGTGCCAGCTTTCTTTGAGGAAGGAGTTGAAAGAATAGCAGATTATTGTGTCTAATACACTGAAGAAAGAAAAGTGGGCCAAGCTGTGACTTTGACTTCAAGGTCACCAGTCAATCAAGCTCAGAGTAGACAGAAAGTTGTTGCGTGTGACTGAGTAGTTTTAATTCTCTATAGACTAATATATGGCCCTCATACACACACACATTCATGTATGTGCACATGTACACACCCACCTATATACACAAACACACATGCCTGCAGGCATGCGTGCCCCAGAAAATCTGCATCTCCTTTTTTATTTCCAAATAAAATTAGACCCTAAGGAACCCATTATCAAATGGAGCTTTTCCACTTCCATTTTAAAATCATAGGCATGCATTCGTTAATTTTATGGAAAAGCAAGGGAATTGTAATTTTTTTTGTAAATGTTTTAGAGAAAAGATACAAACAAAGCGAAAGACTTTTGGCATTTGGGCAAATCATAGCAGCTGGAGACGATCAACAAATCCCAGTGTCGTGTGCACGTGTGTACGTGTGTGTGTGTGCGTGATATAAGATGTCATAGAAAACACACACATACAAACACCATCTGTGTTACAGATTATGCACATCTACATCCTCCCTGATAGGATCCAGACTCATCCGTGTTACACACACAGTATGTGTTTATCTGATGCTCAATAAACCCAAACCCAAGAGTCCTTCCATGCTTTAATTCTACACAGAAATTAGGATGTACTTAAAATGGCATAATTTCTAGCAGGAAGTACGAGGTACTTCGACCGCCTCCCCAGCCAGGAAGCTTTGGCCCCACCTCACCCCCCCAGTGGCTCCACTGGAGGTCACAGAAGTGGATGGACAGGAATGTCAATGGTGACATCACCGTCACTGATAAGGCAGAAATCCAGGTGTGCTGTCTAGCATCCGCTCTTGCTTCCTATAACAAAACTGGTAAACCAAGCCAATGCCCTTGACCCGGTTGGGCCGGGGACAAGGTGCCAGCCACACTCAGCCTGGGAGCCTGAAATAAAGCCCTTTCCCAAGTTCCCATGTGGCTTCAGGTCCCCTGCCGGCCGCCTGAGTCTCCTCCTGCCCTTCTGCTCTGGGTGAGCATTCTGGGGTAGATCTTTGGGAAGGCAGGGCAGGTGGGCATCAAGCGTTCTGGGGTCCAAGGCTCAGTCCTCACAGGAGGCTCTCTTTCGATGCAGGGCAGAACTGCCCATCAAACTGCTGCTGTGTGGTCTTTAGCAAAATCATATAAAGTTTTTTTCAAAAGTGAACTAGACACAGAAACCAGGAAAAGGACCAGAGCCACTGTGGACATTTTTTGCCAAGAATACATCCACCTTCTTGGTTCTGCTGGGGTCTACACACCCCCACAGGTCTTCCTGCTCTCTTCCCCGGAGACGGAGAACAAGATCTTCCCTCCAGGCCAGAGGGCTCTTGGCTGCTTTGCTCTCTGCTCAGAATCCTGTCCTTTGTGTATTTCAGCCATCTTATACCCACCCTGGTTCCCAGACCCAACACAAATCATTAATGATTCAGGCCTAGTTCTCTGCCTGCCTCCCCTCTAATAATAATTCACAGGGTAATTGATCCTGCTTCAGAGTTTGTCAATAACTCGGTGGGGAGTAACTATCTCTCTGGAGGAGGGTTTTGTTTCTGGTAACTGTGGTTATCCTCACTGACCGCACACTGACTATTTAAGTGAATTGACTGTGTGGCTCCCAGGGAATAATGTTGAGTCCTCTATCTCTATGCAAACCAAGGTCCTGATATGAAGTATAAATGGCAGGTAAGATAGGCAAAATGATTTCGAAATCAACTTAACTTTAAAAAACAAAACAAAACAAAAAAAAGCAAGCACCTACTGTACCATTTCCATTTGTTTGTGAAAAACCTGAACCCAGCCCTTCTGGAAGGGAATGTAATCAACTTCTCAGATTACACCCATCCTAGAAGCCTTTTTAAGCAAAGACATTTGATTGTGCACAGCAGTAATCATGTTTCCTTTCCTGGAGGCCAAGCCCATCGATGCCTAGGGACCACAGTCAGAACATCCACCAGAGGAGCAGCCCTTGGCCCTGGCTCATTGGCTGGCCCATCACTTAGCCTGTAGAATGGTTTTGCCAAGTCTATATTTTGTCCAGAGCCCAGGTGATCTGTGACATGAAATTACATCAAAAGAAAACTTCAGCAACGTCTTTAGAAAGTGGGCATAGAAAGGTACTTACCTTAGCAGTGATTTCTTTAAGTGACAAGCTGAGGGACTTTATCCTTTCCTGGAGGCTAGAAGAATTGAAAAGAGGTCGTTGGTCTTGGTAAAAGCTCAGTCCTACCACATGTCACAAGATGGCAAAACAGTGAAACTTCCATCAGCCCAATGGCTGAAGAAGAACAGTAGGAAAGAAGATGCCAAATTGGTTCCATTTGACTGAAATTACTATGTTTCTAGGAAGCTGAGTTTTCCCTCCCTAATTACGCTCTGCCTAGGCTGGTATTAAAATCTGTTATCATTCCCATAATGCACATCTACTGACAGAGTTAACAACTCAGATGTGTTTCTGGCATCAAAAGATTAAATTACATTCCTACAAGTACCTTCCAAGAAAGATGGTCTATCCAGGGTAGTCTCACAGGCAGGTGATCCAATATAATCTATTTGGGTTAATAATTCAATCAATATGTTCCAAGCATCTTATGGGTTTAGCAGGGAGGTGCAGCAGGGAGAAGACACATATATTTAAAGTATCTAAAATAGAATTCTCTGCTCTTTAGGCTTTTCCCTGCTTCTTTTTCACTCCTTAGCACTATGCATCCTGACATATTTATTTACTCATGTAATTTCTTTCTCCCCTCTTTGGAATAAGAGTTCCACAATTGGAGCAACTGCCTGCATCCTCCTGTGTCCATTTCTGTATCCTTGGTGTTCAAGATAATTCCTGGAGCTTCTAGGTGGGTCGGTCAATATCTACAGAATGATCAAATGAATGAATGAAACTAACTCTCAGGCTTTATTTCCATCACTGTTATCACTGTTATCTATGGGAGAAAAAGTACAAAGGAGCCACAAAGAGTCGGACATGACTGAGCTCACACACACATGATAACCAACGGAGAAAGATGGGGAGGAAGGGGCAATTATGAATTTGGGATTAACATATACACACTAGTATATATAAAATAGGTAAACAAGGACCTACTGTATAGCACAGTGAACTAGACTCAATATCTCAATATACGGGAAAAGAATTTGAAAAAGAATATACATATATGTGTGCATGTGTGTGCAAGTCATTCAGTCACATCTGGGCCTTTGCAACCCCATGGACTGTAGCCCACCAGGCTCCTCTGTCCACAGGATTCTCCAGGCAAGAATACTGGAGTCCAGGGGATCTTCCCAACCCAGGATCAAACCCACATCTCTTATATCTTCTGTGTTTGCAGGAGGATTCTTTACCACTGGTACCACCTGGGAAGCCATATATATACGTACATAACTGAGTCACTTTGGGGTACACCTGAAACTAACACATTGTATAATAATCAACTATACTTCATTTTTTTAATAAATTAATTAAAAGTAATAATAATAGTATCTTATCCATAGGTTTTCCCAGCCACATACAAAGACTAGTTCATGCATCAACAATTAAGACAGAATTTAGCTGACCAGAATGGCAGTGCCTTTAGCTCATGCCCAACAGGTCAAGCACCATCCTTCCAGGGTTTCACACATTCATTGGTCTTGGCTCAGTCTTGGCCCTGTCCCAGAAAGAAGATTAGTCTCCTCTAAAATACTGATGTTAAAGCAGGGAGGCAGTGAGGCAGATAATTGAATGCATTGTTTTATATTTGATTTGATTTATATTTAATTTATTTAATTTATGCTATATTACTTTTTGCAGTAGATTTACCTTCCTAATTATGTTTTGCTCAGGCTAATATTAGCATTAGTTGCATCCCTGGGGTACACACAGATGGAAGCAATAGGGGGCAGAAGAATATAAATCATCTATACCCCACGCGAGTGATTTTCAAGCTATTTTTAGTAGTAGAGTTCTTTCAAATGAAATTTTACTCAGAATAGTCATATATACAATAGATAATAGGGTGTCTATTCTGACTGAGATGGGATGTCTGGCCTGGGGTACAAATGAGGTCACACAGACCCCACACACTGAATATTACCACCATCACCCATGCGTGTCATGCACTCAGTTGTGTCCAGCTCTGCAACCCCCTGGACTGTAGCCCACCAGGCTCCTCTGTCCATGGGATTCTCCAGGCAAGAATACTGGAGTGGGTAGCCATTTCCTCCTCCAGGGGATCTTCCAGGGGTCCCCAAATCATGATTCCAGGAGCAGGAATACAAATTAAACACCACCAAATTAGATGAGTTAAATGTTTATAAATAAGAGTTACACGTACTTCAGTGATTAAAATGAATCCCCACATTTCTTTGAAGCCTGCATATGATTAATGACAAATAAAACTGCTCTCTCAGATCAAATTATGCAGTACCCAGGAAACACACATTGTCTCCACAAATTAGCACATAATGTTTTAACAAACACACCAGACCTAATTTACTCAAACGAGTGTCTTCCTGAAAAGCAGCCACCCTAGGAATAATAGTGTCAAACATTTATTGAGCTCTTACTGTGTACCAGGCACTCTCTCTTGTATTCCTTACATGGATTAGCCTTTCAAATTCAGATAACTCTATGAAGTAGGTACCATACTATCTACATCTTCAGACAAGAAAACTCCAGGAGCGATTTCAGAAATTTTCCCAGGGTCAGCTAGATGGTAAACGGGAGAATGACAACCCAGGCAGTTTAGCTGTCTGTTCTTCTAACCACTAAACTATGCTCCCTCTTCCAGAAGATGAGTAATCATTTGAGGTATACTGTCAGTGTATACACTGGTTTTTAGAATTCTATTTTAGAATGGTGTTGAGTTTACAAGGTGTGTGTGTGTTAAGATAAAGCTGTGTCCAACTCTCCGCAACCCCATGGACTGTAGCCCGCCAGGCTCCTCTGTCCATGGGATTTCCCAGGTCAGAATACGGGAGTGGGTTGCCATTTCCTTCTCCAGGGGATCTTCCCGACCCAGGGATTGAACCCAGGTCTCCTGCATTGCAGGTAGATTCTTTACAGTCGGTTGGTCGGAGCCACCAGGAAAGCTCTGAATTTACAACACTAAGTCATTTATTTGTAAATGGCCATTATCCTCTACTCACAAATGATACTTAAATCATCTGAAATTCACCCTCAACACATGAAGCCTCAGAAAAGTTGAGACTGTTAAGAAGAATATGCTGCACAGAAAGTACGATAGGGGCAGCTGGGCTTGAGACTGGTGGTGGTGAAAGGAAATTGAGTATACAGGGGTCTGTTATGGTTGAGTGTGTGCCCCCAGCACCAATTCATTATGTTAGTGTCCTCAGAATGGTACCTTTTTTGGTGATACTGTCTTTATAAAGGTGCTCAATTTAAAGCGAGGCCATCAGGGTGACCCTAATCCAGTATAACTGGTGTCCTTATGAAGAGGGGAATTCGAACAAGAGAGAGACACACAGGGAAGACCACAAACAGAGACAAGCCAATCATGCTCAAGCCAAGGAGAGAAGCCTGGCACAGATTCTTGGCTCACAGCCTTAGGAGGAAGCAGCACCGCCCACACCTCGATCTCGGACCTCCAGCCTCCAGCACCGTGTTTAAGCCCCTCAGGCTGCGGGACCGTGTCATGGCAGCTATAGCAAACTAACTCATGTGAAATTTCCATTTTTAATAGTATGATTAATCACATGTGTTATTAAGATCCTACATACTGGTGCTCCAGTTCAGCTCAGTTCAGTTGCTCAGTTGTGTTTGACTCTTTGTGACCCCATGGACTGCAGCACACCAGGCTTCCCTGTCCATCACCAACTCCCGGAGCTTACTCAAACTCAAGTCCATCGAGTCGGTGGTGCCATCCAACCATCTCATCCTCTGTTGTCCCCTTCTCCTCCTGCCTGCAATCTTTGCCAGCATCAGGGTCTTTTCAAATGAGTCAGTTCTTCGCATCAGTGGCCAAAATATTGGAGTTTCAGCTTCAGCATCAGTCTTTCCAATGAATATTCAGGACCGATTTCCTTTAGGATTGACTGGTTGGATCTCCTTGCAGTTCAAGGGACTCTCAAGTCTTCTCCAACACCACAGTTCTAAAACATCAATTCTTCAGTGCTCAGCTTTCTTTAGAGTTCAGTTCTCACACCCATACACGACTACTGGAAAAACCACAGCCTTGACTAGGCGGACCTTTGTTGGCAAAGTAATGTCTCTGCTTTTTAATGTTGTCTAGGTCGGTCACAGCTTTTCTTCCAAGGAGCAGGCATCTTTTAATTTCACGGCTGCAGTCACCACCTGCAGTGATTCTGGAGCCCAAGAAAATAAAATCTCTTTGTTTCCATTGTTTCCCCATCTGTTTGCCATGAAGTGAAGGGAACGGACGCCATGATCTTAGTTTCCTGAATGTTGAGCTTTAAGCCAACTTTTTCACTCTCCTCTTTCACGTTCATCAAGAGGCTCTTCAGTTCTTCTTCACTTTCTGCCATGAGGGTGATGAGGTCATTGATATTTCCGCCGGCAATCTTGACTCCAGCATGCTCCAGGGTCCAAGGGAAGAAGTCCACCCCGAGTGGGAGCCAGCAGACAAGAGGCACAGTGGCCCTTCCCTTTGCTTCGGACCAATAGATGATTCCACTTTCGACCCACCCCAGGGGAAACAGAAAACCTCTCCAGCAACAGACTGCAAACATTCTTGCCTTGTAGTGTGGGCTCTAAGGACAGGTGGCTATAAGAAAATTGTATGTGACGATGTCCTTGAGTTTTTAGAACCTGATTATGGGGCCTTCGAAGTGGACGTGGTAGTCACACAGTCGTGTCTGACGCTTTGCAACCCCATGGACTGTAGACCGCCACACTCCTCCGTCCATGGGATTCTCCAGGCAAGAATACTGCAGTGGGTGGCCATTTCCTTCTCCAGGGTCTTTCCAACCCAGGGATCGAACCTGGGTCTCCTGCATTGCAGGCAGATTCTTTACTATCTGAGCCACCAAGGAAACCTTTGGGTTAGTATAAAAGCACACAAATGCCTTAGCTCCAGGTTAGGAGTGAAAAGGGGCTCCCTTAAATCCCCTGGAGAAGTGACTAGCTTCCCACTCCAGTATTCCTGCCTTGAGAATTCCATGGAAGAGAAGCCTGGTGGGCTACAGTCCTTGGAGGCACAAAGGGTCAGACATG